GATATCGTTGTATAAAATGACGGATAGTAACTATGACATTAACTATTAATGTTGTTAGTTCCATACTTATACCATTTCCAACCCAATCAAATAAACCAAGACCTAATTCTAATGAATAACATGGACCACCACATATATATAGTTTCACATCATATATTGGTTTACATTTATATAATACTACAATACCAACATATAGTAATGGACAATATAAATAAAGAAATATAACTGGTCCATAATGAAGAAGAATCATATGTCTTAAAATGAATTGTTCATGATAAATAAATAAATAACGTTGAATAGATATCCATGTCATAAGAAAAATACTCAATTGAAAAAGTGAATAATTCAAAGTAATCCAAGCTGAACATCTATTTTCAAAATAAATACTTCCTTCATATAAAAAATAAAGTGTAATAGGTAGCTCAACACCAAGAATTAAAGCATTGACTATAAGAAGAAAACCATAGATTTGAGTTTGTAAATGACGCCATTGAAAATGACGTAACCTTAATATAGAATTATTCATGTTAATAAAGAAGAAGTCTGAAAATTATTGTTATTAAACTTACATGAAGAGTGTACAAAAAAATGATGGACCTTGTAGAATAACAAGTATATAAAACTTGATTTTTTGTTCAAGTGTTGATATTATTGAACTACTTATATCATCAGTAATATTCAACGATGAGTTGCTAATATTCAATTCCATGACGAAACTTTGATTCCATAAGCAGTTAACTCGGCTTTTTATATAAAGTGCAGAAAAAAATTAATTAAAAAGAATAGAAGAATAGTCGCAAGATTCTTTGTTAGAAAAAGAAGTATTATTTCTTTGACAGTAAGTAAGGATTTCAATGTCTAGCATAATTACTAAGAACATATTTTCCATTCAAATACATTAGTTATATTATTGAAAAAGCGAAACTGATTAAACTCGAACTTATTCATGAGAGGTCCTTTGCTTCTTAAAAAATAATCGAAGTGCATCAATTTTAGAAAGAACTTGTTTCTTTCAATTGTTCAGCGTTTTGTCATAACTATTGAACAAACTTCGAACTAAGATTACCCTTTTCTGTTCAATACTACAACATATTCTAGCTTTTTAGTCTTCTAAGTAATACTCTCCTAATTATCAAACAAGAAGAAATATCTGTTTCTCAATAACGTACTAATGTTTCCTTTTTCGATCTTCTATGAAACAATAAGTATATTCAACAGAAGAAAATGTCACTAAAGTTTGTTTTTTGTTGAATTCATTCTAAATAATGATAGAGGATATTCGAAGTTGTCAAAGAAAAAACAGATTAAGATGAATTAATTAAAAAAAATATATGTGATTTTCATTGATTAATGTTTTTCATTTGCAAAATGTATCAGATTGAAAGAACATTATAATCACTTCTTTCACGGAATCATAAATCGAATTGATAACAAAATGTCTTCTCGATACATTGAAGTTCAAATAAAGCATAGTTACGGAAATACAAACATCAAGTGGATTTTTCTCGTTCATCTATACATACTCTACATGAGTTTCACGCGCTGATCATGAATCTATCGTTTTCATTTTGATTCAAATTATGTTCAACTGTAAAAAACCTTAAATAATTCGAATAAATGAGAATGTAGTATTTCTAATTATAACTTTGCGTTGTCTACAAAAAATGTTAAATTTAGACTATCTTTATATTATAAGCTTTTTGAAAATCTTATCGTCTGGATCAACATCAAAAGCAAAGTAGAAGAACGCTTCCTAATTAGACTTAGAACTAGTAAGATTAAGAAATTCTCGTTCGATATATTTAGCTCGACCATATCTCTTAGCATGTATCTGCAATTACTCTTGTAAAACTATCTATTGTTTTTTTCTTAATGAAAGATAGAAGCAAGTATCTTATCTCATTCAAATTGCTAGATGATGAACTACAAAGCACTGGTTTAATTTTTCTAAATACTGTTTTCTTGTTTAAAACATTGAATTTTTTTCTTATCTTCAGTAGCAACATCATATATAACTGAATTGTGAGAGGCCCTCAAATGTTTTTTTCATTCAAAATAGATTTTACTCAAATATATGTGATTCATTACAGTTTTTGACGCTGATTTCATATAGGCTATCTATTCTATCTTCCATCTCACCTATGCTAATAAAAATGGCTAAATACGAATGCATTTCTTATTCTTTTATATGGTTTTGATCACTGAATAAGAAAAAAATTCAATCTTTCTAAACAAGAAAACAGTATTTAGAAAAACTAAACCAGTTCTTTGTAGTTCATCATCTAGCAATTTGAATGAGATAAGAAACTTGCTTCTATCTTTCATTAAGAGAAGAAAATAGATAGTTTTACAAGAGTAATTGCAGATACATGCTAAGAGGTATGGTCGAGCTGAATATATCGAACAAGTGCTTGTTAACCTTACTAGTTCTAAGTATAATTAGGAAGTGTTCTTTTACTTAGCTTTTGATGTTGATCTAGATAATAATATTTTCAAAAAGCTTATTATATAAGTAGTCTAAATTTAACATTTTTTTAATAAACAATGCAAAGTCATGATTATAAATACTAAATTTTTAGTCATTCGAAATTTTAAACATTTTTTACAACTAAGTAGTGATCGAACCAACATAAATGCTATAGATTCGTGGCTAGCTTGTCAAAATCTTTCAGACTATTCACAAATGAACGAGAAAAAGTTCACTTGTTTTTTTCAACCCTTACACCGTTTTATGTATTTCTTAGTTATTTTATTCTCAGTTTCAATCAAATTCTCATATGTAAGTATCACTAGAAAAGTAAAAAAGAAACACTTTTTTTTATAAAAGCATTCAACAACGAATAGTCTCACACTTTGAACTTATCGAATCCTATATAATGTTTGTAACAGTCGGATAAACAGTGATTCACTAGAATCATACTGAGTGTTCATTAGAATACCAATCAGACTGAATGTCACGTCATCAATCATTATACTATTTCTCAAATTATTCAATAAATAACTGATACAGTGTTCCCCTGCTTGAATTCTGATGTACTCTTTCAAAAAACTATAAAAAAAATTTTATGCTTTTATTTTTGTGAAAGAATATAGAATCACCTGGAGTTTTTTAAAGGTTTTCATTGCTTATTGCAGTTCTTGACAGCCTAAACCTAAGGTTTATGTAACTACCAGCACGCAAAACTTTATCTATTGTAGATTTCTTTTTCGTTTACTATATTTTTTTCTCTATTATTTATTTATTGTAATAATCACTAGGAACGACCTTCACACATATACAAATCGAACTGATTTAGGTCGTCAGCATCAACAAAGTTTTAGAATCTGGTCTTGTACTTAATCTTTAACGCTGAGTTTGAAAAGATAGTTGTAAAAACTGATGAAAAGAAAAGAAAAGTACAGAAAATTTCACATAAATTGCCAACAATGAATTTTTTTTTCAAAAAGCGACATTCTTCCAGCTTCGAAATTTTTTCAATCTGACAACAGTATTCACAAGAGTAATAAACCCTTTTGACTCAATTAGAAGTTCAAGATCAGTCGATTTGCTTACTGAACAACCTAGATCAAACAATTCTATCATAAGATATTGTACAATTGTTTCAAGATCACACAGAATCTTACTGCATGATTTTTCATGACGTTGCATACATGAATTTATTCTATTTTTGGCTTTTATGATCTTGTTTTCTTAAGAAAGTTTTTTATCTTTATTCACATATGTGTATTTATTTATAAAAATTACGAAAACGAAATGAAAAGAAAAGTATTCGGTGTAAAAAAAAAACTATTATTGAACTTAATAATTAAAATGATTCAAAATGAAAAATAAATAATTTACATTAAAAAAAAAAAAGCTTAATTCTATTTGAGATCTAAACTTATGACTCTATACAATCGTCTAAGATCTTACCAGAAATAATCTTATACTAAGAATCATGTAAGATGTTCAATAACATCTTATAGTCAAATAAACATTACTGTCAATAATATGACATTTGTACGGTTTTCTAAGACTTTTCCACCTGGTAAGTAACGTGACGTAACATTTTCTAACTCTTCAATTGAAAGAAGTATAATATGATAAAAATAAGACAATATGATTAATCATGAAGTTTCGAATTTCATCGAACTATCTTTATTTAACATTTACCTCTATCTTCAAATAAACTTATGTTGAGATTAGCCTGATTTATTTTAAAATATTATTCAATTTTATTTCGAATTCATATTAAATAATCTAAGAATTCTGAAACTAAGTCTAGAATTAGTTATATTCGATATTAGCAAGCTTCTTGAGATATGTTAAAGAAACTTTTTAAATCAGAACCTAGTAGACTAAAGAAAATTTATACGAAAAATACAGCAAATTAGCATATTTTGTAAAAAACTAAGATGAATTTGGACAATGAAAGTTTCAGATAAATCTTATCAGTGAATCAGTATGTAATGAAGCTAGTTTCATAATTAATTTGATTGATATTTGAGATTTTTTCCAGTGAAAGGTCTTCAAGGTTACTTCGAAAACATAATGAAATGAAGAGAATCGGCCGTAAATTATAAAAATCCGTAGTCTAGAATGCTATCTGAATGAGTTTAATATAAACAATCAGTTATTTATACGATGTTTATTTTTGAAAACATTAATCGATTTCTCAAAAGAGTACATGACGTTTTATCTGTAAATGTAAAGTTATCATCTAATATAAGGAATTATTATTACAGGTTGTTTTTTAATCAACGGTAATCTACGAATGTTTTGTCCGTAAAACTTACAACAACGATTTTTCGGATATCTAAATAGGAGATCTACAAGAATCTATAAAGTTCCAGAATATTGAGCAGCTTCGAAAATTACATAGGCAGATAAACATGAGAATCCAATGTTTCATTAGCAGTGCATGGGCTATTTTAAAGAGGTTTGAAATCGTGTTCAATGAAACATGAAAGATATAGAGAAGAACAGCAAGATTCTCATGACAGTACTTCCAGGAATTTTAATGAAATACATTCGAAGAGCTGAAGAGCATGTGAAACGACCGACTGATAGCAAAATCACGATTGTTCTACCACATTTAGCTGCCTAAGTAAAACAAGACAACAGGTGCAGACGAGCAATACAGCTACAATTAGGATTATCTGTATTTCTTTCGTTTTTTTTGACGTGTATCACTTTGTTATACTATCATTACTAGTAATTAGCGTTTCACCTGACAATTCAGCTATTAGTCTCACTTTTTCATATTCAAGATTGAATACATACATTGTTTATGCTATGTGTGATATTGTAAGTATGCTTTCTTTTTGTAACCGAAGCTGTAAATTTGTTATTGACACTCCTCTCATGTTATTGACATATTCATTTTCTTCACTATTAACTCATTTCGTGTGTGCAGTTTATACTCTAGGCAACTATATATTCAGGTACATGCTTGTTTAGTAGAAGTGGAAGATCATGCGACTAATAAAATCGTGTCTGCTTTCCTTTCTTTGTTTCCTTCTGGTTAGTTCTCGTTTCGTCGAAAATTAAAATTCGAATAAGAAGATGAAGAGTGTAATTAGCCTATTCACACACATTTCGTTTTCTTTAACAGACTAGTTCGAAAGAATGATTCTGAGTGAATCTGTGAAAAAAATTCTTGATAGCATTATAAGGATTACACATAGACCAAATTGATTCACCTTACCAATATCGAGAGGCAACAATGTTGAAGTTTACAAACATCGAAATGTGAAAATGTTGAGATGTTAAGGATGTTGAGTGTGTGGGTAAGCAACGAGAAAACGGACACCCACATCCTCATATATATCAAAGCACTTCCACGTCATAGCTCGTACCCTCACCTTTACGCTAACTCACATGCTTATTTTTTCACAATTGAAGTTTGTTGTTTATAACGAGTAACTAAATATTTTAATCGAAGATTTCGATTTAAAAATAAGTTTTCCGTGGTGGTATTGGATGGCTGACTGAATGACGTATCGATATAGCTTAATTGATTTCTTTGATAAAAATTAGTCTATTCAAGTGACTTAAAACAATTAGAATAAGATACTCATATTCTTCTTCTTTTTCGTTCAATTTTACTTTTCGACGAAACGAGGATTCACCTTCCTTCTCTCTCTCTCTCTCAATGGTAAGTGATACGACGAAGAAAAAGGCAAAGAAAAGTGATACTGGAAGAGAATAAATAGACGGAGGATGTACGAAATGGAGAAAAACGTTAGACTCTAGATAGGTCTTAGAAAATACGGACCAATCCTAACTCTTAAAAATTAATCAAAATGCATATTAGGCTGTTACTTACTTATTACTGGTAATAAGTAATAAAGATTATTATTTTTATTACTTTTCAAAACTATTAGTAATTACCAGTAATAGTAATATAGCATCGCTATTCATTTGTAGCTCGTCCAAATTGTTTTTACTTAAAAGTGCTCGTTCTTTACTGTTCTTGCTCAACTTTCTTTCTTATGACGACAAACATGGGTTTCACATGTGTCTATTGCCCTGTTTGTGTCATCATTTATTTTTGTTGTTTCGTTTCGAAATTACTTGTAAGTTTTATTGCATCATTTCATTACGTTGAATTTCAGGTATTTAACTTGATTATCCCACTTTGCAATCGAGCACGTATTGACAGTTGATAGTTGGATTTTATTTATAAAGTTTAAGGAACACTGTATTTTGTTTTTGCGAAAAATTGTGTACAATCATGGCAATGATAAATATTCCTCGCACGAACACCGATCCATTTAATCGTTACAAAATGCCAAGACTTGTAGCCACGGTAATTGAACTAAAGAAAAGAAAAATATGGGTAGTACATGATCTTCGATTATCTTTTGTTTTCTAGAGATTAAGAGTTCGTTTAAAAATCTACTCTTCAGCTCATACGTGAGGGAATTCATTGCTCTACAAAACAGTTTACTTTATTTTTCCAACAAGTTTTCCTTGTTAGTGCTAAATTTAATTGTCCAAATGAGATCTACAAAAAATTGACGAAATGATAGAACTATTTTTTAACGATGATTCTGTTCAAATTTGACATACATATAACACTATTCTATAACTCTTGATAAATATTTCAAAGTTTTTGAAGAGATATTTTCGAGCACATTTGCAACAGCGTCGCTTATTTTATCTAGCGTAATGTGAATAGTTTAGATATTTGCGTTAAAAATTATGTCATTGCGTTTAAAATGAAACTCTGCATCGAATTCGATGAGAAGTAATATTTAATTGACTTTGAAAAACAGGACTTTTACAAAAGTACATCCGACAATAGGATCAATCGTTTGCTCGATGAACTTTTCTTCCAAACAATATTGTAAAGTATGTTGTTAAGATGATTAAATTATCGAGCACAAACTGACAGTAGAACATAGAATTTCACACATGACTGATTGAGTAAGTGTTAATCTTTTGAATTTTGCTTCAACCTAGAAAGACTTGTCGAGAATATGACAAGTACAGTTTCTTAGACTTGATGAATTCTTTATCGAATGATCATAGAAGCCGTTTTTAAAAATTTCTTTTCGAATGCTTTAAAACAAGAAAACAGAAATCAGATATTCATTGTAAGATATTAACTATTTATATGTTCTCAGGTAACAAGAGCAGGTAATGCTTGTAAAACAATTTTGGTAAATGTATCAGCGGTAGCTAAATCTCTCCATCGTTCACCAATATGTAAGTATCTATTACATTTTTTAATATCAAGATAAAAATAATTCTATTTAAATTTTAAACTACACATATTCCTAGATATAACAAATTATTTTGGTTTCGAATTGAGTACATCAATACGAATGGATGTAACATCGAATTTGTATATAATTAAAGGGGCACACAATCAAGAAAAATTGCAAGATTTATTGGATGATTTTATAAACATACTCGTATTATGTCGTTATTGTGGAAATCCTGAAACTGAATTAGTACGTCAAAATTTTAATAACATATTATTTAGAAGTGTAAGTCGATGCATTGATCGACGGTGGATAGAACGTTACGATGATTCTTTTTAAAATTCTTTTTTTTTATTTCGAAAGATATTGAAATGAAATTGGTATTAGTAAAATACGTTCGAAACACTCTAACTATTGTTCTATTCGAAAACATTATAAATAAAAAAACTCTTAAATTCTCTATACATGTAACCATACACCCAGTTATGTCACTAATATCTAAATAGAATAGATAGAAAATGAGGTTAGAGAACTAACTGATAGTAAACTAGACAATCCATAGAAAAATAATGGAAAAATTCTGATTTTCGATTTGAATCACAATGTCTACACAACACTTTTTCTTGCGAGTTTTAATGTAGAGAGTTAAGTTTTCGAATAGTTTTTCAGATGTAAAGAAATGCCAACAAAATGAGTTAATATCAGTTATCTTTTTATTGAACTGATTAAAATCTGATTTTAGTCAATTTTTCATAAAAAGTTGATTAAAAGCATACTTTTTTAATATTTTTTTTTCACATGAAAAGAGTATTGCCGAAGATTGATTCAAAATATCGAGTTCAGCTGAACGGTTTACAACTTTATATTGATCAAATAGCAGATAAAAGAGATGTGACGAGTGAGTGAGGTTACTTCTTAGTGGCTGATTCAAGATACTAGTTAAATAATCCGTCACAGCTATCTATTGCATACTAGTAGAAGTAGTACTAGGCAAGTCAACATGTATATTTGTTTGGCTTATAATTGATACTGATGACATCGATTGACTGTCAAAAAATATAGCTTTTTACTACATCATAATACCGAAATGTTTGATCGAAGGAAAGTAGCAGTCATCTCGAGTACTATAATAAAAACAATTAGCGAAAATAAGAATCAATATCAGTGTTTTATGCTATAGGATTACGACAAGAGAAATAAAAATGAAATTTATGAACGATGCAATGCTTGTGGGAATATGAGTACAATTAAAAAAGAATCCCACAAGCTAATCAAATTTATTCTAAGCAATTGGCTTCAATGTGAGGGAAATTCCAATAGACTTCATTTAGGTGAAAGTACTTCCATTGAGCAAGAAGCAAAAGAAGTAAGTCAATTCAAATTCAAAATGTATATAATTTCATTTTCACTGTCTAGAATATTTCCGTAAATATTACCATTGCCGATGATGATGAGAATGACGATTGGGATGACGATTTGCCATCCTCTGTCCCTGAATTGAACATTCAGATCAATAGTATAGTTCCATTGGAAGATCTCGATAAACAAACATACGACAGTTGTGAACAATTCAATTCTTTATTGAAAGTTAGTTCAATATAGAATTCACTGAAATACATAATGGATTTTGTAATATGTCTAGAAAAAGAAATTTGCTAATCAATTAAATGATCCTATTTCAATTCAAGAATTGATAACTGAAGCCGAACGATTGAAAATAGTGGAAAAAGCTCCATTCTATGTTGCTGAATGTTTATTTACTGATCAAATTCTTAAAGAAATTGAAGTATACAAAACACTACTTTATAGAGTATGTTTTCAATTTATAGTATATGGTGCATTTTTTTTATCAGAATGATTCATTTACTAGTTGTGCATAAAAACTGCCAAAGGACAAAAGTCTCTGTTAGGTGGACTTGAATCAATAATCGGTACAAATCAAGAAATTCGAGAAAAATTATTCAACAAAAAAGGAATGTCAAAAATTCTTTACAAGCTTTATGAAAAAGACATAGTTGCAGAAGATGTTTTCTATTACTGGTATGAACAGGTACGAATAGAATAATGGATTTTCTACTGACTAACACGAATGATTATGATTTAGAACTCGAAACAACTTACTGATACAGCTATTTCAACAGAAATTCGAGAGTACACCAAAGAATTCATCGAATGGTTACGCACAGCTGAGGAATCCACTGAAGAAGACGCCGACAAAGTCTAACAGAACAGTGGATCATATGAAAGTTAGCGTAGTTTTAAAAGTGAAAATAATTTATTTAAAATTCGTTTTTTACAACATCGATACATACAACGACTAGATTTTTTTTAAACATTCTTTTGAAAATTTAAAAAATATACACAAACATTTAATTTGACATTGTACAATTTCGAAGAAAAAGCATATTTGAATATAGTCAATGAACAATGACAAGCCGTGATGGAGCATTAGTTGTCACTGTTTGAGTATGGATGGCACGAATTCGATTTCGATGACGTCGTTTGTCATTATTGCATGGAAACATAAATAAAGCAACAAGTTTTCCTTTTACTTCTGGCATGTATAAAATAGCAACAAAAGGAAGTATTAATTCTTGAAGATAAGGTAAATAAGCCAAAAATCTTGAAAGAATATCAACAAGTTCTTGAGAACTTTGAAACATTTGAATTAATACAATAAGTGAATATGGAACCCAACCGATTACATAAATCATCCCAATTGCAATCAGCTGTGCACCTAATTTTACCGACCGATTCTATCATAAAGCAAACTTATTTTATATAAATATAAAAAAAAATATTTAACTATTTTTACCCACTGTCGACGTCCATCTACTGTAAGAATTGCTCTTTTCATTCGATAT